CTTTATCATAGAAAATGTTTTTTCAGAGGGCCATGATCCTGGATAATAGCTCTGATTTGCTATATAATAGGAGAGTGATAATCAATGGCACATAATTTACTACTATTTATAGGTTCCAAGTATGGTCTCATTTGAACACACTTCTTTCCTCATACCTCAATATCTAACCACTCAATTTGTCCTTCTTCTTCTAGGCTAGGTAGTAATCTTTTGCTTTTACTAGCTTCCCTTCTTCAGACCCCAGAGAACATACTCTGACATGTTACTCTTCCCAATCTTCTACCATACCTGCCTTAGCCACCTCCCAACTTGAAGTTCCCTAGGAATCCATTTCTCTGTTTACTCACATATGGACAGTCCAGAAGTACAGCCATCGGGTCCCTGTCAAACTCATAATCTAAGTGTACCTGAGCCTTTTCTGCTCTTCAGTAGTTCTGCTATCCTTTCTCTTATCAAAATTTCCAAAGTAATAATTTTAAACCTATCTTCCTAAGTCTTCAATTCCACCCAGTGCTCTTGGATATTTACTATTTATGGGAAGACTCAGGGCATATCTACCAAGTATGCCCTATTTCCCTCTGTACTGAAAATTTCTGTGATATTAATTCTTAACTGCCTTGCTGTCTCAAATTATCTTTCTACTCTTCTACCTACAACTCTTCAGCTTTTCATTATCTCTCTTTCAGGACCCTGATTCAGGTCTTCTTTATTCTTTATTCTTTTCTTTATTCTTCTTTTGCGATTGCCTTTTGTTCTGCAGAAAAGAAGTCTATATTCATAGCTCCCCATATAGACTTATGCAATTCCTCTTCTCCTCCTCAATCTGTATCCTTTTTCCAAAATTCTCTCAAGTCCTCCATCACCAAATTTGATGGATATTCTTGGCCCACATCCTACTTGACTCTCTGTAGCACCTTAGACTTTGCACAATCAAAACTGAAATTAAGTATTCTCCTCTTCTCTTTTCCTATCATTGCTGGCTGGTTCTCCAATTCTTACAGTTAAGCAAAAATTTTCCATAATCAATACCACAGTTTAATTAAATTCCTTTCTTTCCATCACTGTTACGTCTATATCACTTAGTTCCTCCCTTTCCATTCGTGTCACAGAAAACATTCTTCTTTCAACATAACTTAACAGATTGTACCAGTTTCCTAGACTCCTGTTTGAAGTATCCTTTCCAGAATCATAACAAAGAAATCTCAAATTTTTATCTTAAGAATGAAGGCCCTCTAAACACTATAAATTATAGGCTCCTTCATTTTATTGCACTCCCTCCTTCCATTTCATTTCATTTCTTTTACATTTCCTCTGAACTCTAGGAGAATTCAGTTTTCACAATGCTCCCTGCATATTCTCACCTGCTTGCCTGAATCAGGCAAGTCCATCCACTGTAATGTTCAGCATCTTTACTTACTAAAATTCTACTACTGTTTTTAAGATTTGGTAAAGATGTCTACTCTTCCTATCTCCTGTAAGTTACAAATTATTCACTCTTTGTCTGAACATGCACAGTTTCAATACGCCCATCTCTTTCTTTCTTACTCTTATTTCATGTTTCTTTACACTATAATTGCCTGTGAACTTACTTTATTGTTTATATTAGAATTCACAGTGATGATAATGACAAGTGTAACAATAATATCCATCATAACAAACCCTACCAAATTCCAGCTCTGTGTAAGACAAGTAACTTCATTACCTCAGCAACTCTGTGAGGACTGTCTCCACTTTTAGATGTGATTAAGTAATGTACCCAAGTCCAATACCTAGGAGGTGGCAGAGCCAGAAATTCAATTTAGTCTTGTCAATTTTAAAAGTCATGTTCTTACTTACTATATAGTACTTCTCAAAATTCATAGAATCAACAGATAATCACAGAATAAAACATGCTCCTTATAAGTCCTAATAGGCAGGATAGTTTAATTAGCCAGATTCTTCAGAGTTGCTCAGCCTGCTTGGACAATATATACTTCTATATGGAGAACAAATAGACAGCTTAGACTCTTAACTCTTAAAGGATGAAGACAGGACAAAATTTTTATGTCTAAGATTAAACAAAATATAAAATGCAAAAAGAGAGAGAGAAACCTCTAATTCAACTGGATTAAGTAATAGCCTAATTTTGTATTTTCCCTTGGAACCACCAAAGTCAGTAAAGCAATTAATCAAGGCCTCTCCAAAAGCTTTACCTAGAACATTTAAACCACATTTAGACAGAGCCTCCAATAATTCCAGTTTCCAAGGCTTATGAAAATATAATTGTATTCTGTTGACACAATTAAAACCAATGTAAACTCAGAGTCCTATTTCACATAAGACAGGTAAACTAATATATGGCACACACAGTTATCAATGTAAAGAGGTTAAGGGCTGTAATTCTCTGAGAGCATGTCATCATACAGCCCAAATCCCATAACAACAAATACCTTTACAATAGAGATGTCTCTGTAACAAAAACCTTTTCAAGCTTTGGCTGATATCCCACATTATTTTAAGCAATATTTGATGTGAGACTTGGAGTTCACAGTAATAGGAACTGACCTGTATTTCCAAAGGTAAGATTTTGAATGATTTCATCTGTAACTCCTATCCTGTGATGCACAATCCAAACCCATGATTAGAAAAACTAAACACAAAGACAGAAATGAAATCCACCATGCTCTTAAAGAGTAGGACTCTGACCCAAGACATAAAATAGGGCATATCAGAGCTGGTTTTCTGTCTCATCTCACTGAGAGACAAAATGATGCAGTACATGTAAATGTTTAAATCTCCTCTCGGACACTTATTAACTGGGTAAACTGGGCTACAATTTTTAGTTTTTATGAGTTTCTGTTTTCTCATCTGTAAAATGTGACTAATACCACCTACCTTCAGAATTTTGGTAATAAGAATATTATATATAAAGCTTCTATCAGAGGTCCTGAAATATAGTATTTTCCACAAAAAAAAAGGTCTTCTCTAAGACCTTGGGCTCCTACAAACTATTTCCATCAAACTAGTTAGAAGACCCAGTTAATGGAAGTTAACGAAGCATATAATCCAAATGCAGTCTGGGTAAAGGTGCTGCTCAAAGGAACACCTAGGGAAAAGACAGAAAGTGGGAGTATGACTAAGTAATGCACGTGTATTTACTTGACTAGGAAAAAAGTCTCTTGGCCAAGGTAAGACATGTGTATTCAAAAGCTAAAATGCTAATAAGCAGCATCGTAATAATAAATGAGCTCTGAATATTTTGTCAGAGATCATTTTGAAAAATGCTGGTAACCCAAAACTCAGAGTCATGTTTTCCTAGTTGAGGATAAAATGTGGTTGCTACTCTAGACTACTTTTCTTTGGGTGCTATTCTAGGTGGTGGGAGGGTCCTTACTTGAAGATTCCTTAGCTCAATGCCACATATTATACTGTCTCTCCTCAGTAGAATACTGTAAAAGTATCAAAATAAACTCTAGTTTCTCTGTTTTGGAAACATGTAGATAAGTAACGTCATAATATATTCACAAAATGTTCTCAATATTGTTCTAATCTATGAGGTTTCAAATTCTATTAATTTTTAGATACATGATTTTTCTGTTTTTCAAAATACAGATTTATCAAATTTGTGGTGACAAAGTTTTATGGTATTTTTAAAACAATTCTGTTATTACATGGTATGTTTTAAGATAGAATACTAGAGTCTTATAATCTTTATAGTCTTTATAATCTAAAGGAAAGTCTGTTCACCTTTATAAAATTAGTATTTTATAAAAATTCCTTAAAAAGTATCCAAAACCTTATCAGACCTTGGCAACTATAGGAAACAAAAGATGGCCTAACATTTCTCAGAGTACAATGTGAAGCTGAAAGATTTCTTAGTCCTAAAAGCCTTTTCCTTGACAGTAAGAAAAAGGCTCAGAGAAAAGTTCAGGCCAATACTCAAAGAGCACATACAAGCCAAACAATGACCTTTCTCTTATGGGATGCAACATTAAAAATAAAGTAAAAAGCCAGACAAAAATAGCAAGGTTCAGAGAAAAAGGAACTGTGAGATTCACAGAAAGACAGAAAAGTCCTGAGCAGAGAGGATTGAGAAATTAACAATAAAGAAAAAATAAAATTACTGAAGTGAGAAGGTTAAACTAGTGACAGAGACCAAGTGGTAGCAGCAGAGGAGATATTTTAAGTTCAGTCTGCACAGACCTTATAAAATAGAACTTGAATACACATGAGCATCAGCCTGGTACAATGGTTCCTGGCCTCTATTTTAGTAACTGTAACTTCTACCCCCACAACCATCATCTTAAAATGGAGGCAGTAATGAGCACCAGACTGTACACTTTAATCTTACCAATGATAAGGGCGTAAACCTCAAGCATTTCTGAAGGTGTGCTAACTATCATAAGCCACTAGAGTGCTACTCCCTGGCTCAAAAATGCACACTTCACTTAATGATCCACACTAGCTTTCAAGAATGGACGTCCCTCCTAAAAGTGAACCTTTTCTTTCTCATACCATACTAACAGTATAGAAGGCATTTCAGGGTCCCCACAGGCTGTGGACAAATGAAATACAATTGCAATTACAAGAGAAATCATGGGGAAGTAGCATGGAAAGAGTTAGCTCCTGAAATACAAGGCTGACAAACACTATTCATAGGAGGAGCAGCCACCCCACCCAGGAAGATCCGGCTATGCCTAGAAAGTGACCTCACAGGAGCAATCAGGTGCCTGGACAGAGGCTGGGCAGAGTTCCGGCCCTCCCTCTCTCAGTGTCCCACCTGTCTCAGCAGGCAGGCGGGAGCTGGGGAGGAGCCGAAGGAGCAGCCAGAGCACAAGGGCTGCCAGCACCAGCTGCTCCCAGCAAGCCCTCCCTCCTCCTCCTCTTCTCCTCTCCCTCCTCCAGGCTGAGGGCTCTGGGTAGCTCTGGCTAGCCCAGCGATACCCACAATAGCCTCAATGCCCAAAAGATACCTGGGTGACCACCCCCCTCCTGCCCCATGAGCCCCACGCTGTCTGTACCTTTACTCTGGGGAGGATTCTGACTCCGGTCTCGGAGGACGTTGATCTGGTAGACAGCTCCGTAAGGCTCAAAAAGTTCTTTCAGCTCCTTTTCTGACCACGATCGAGGGATCTGTCCGACAAACATCTTAATGGCATCTGGGTCTGGCTGGTCTGAGTGATCCAAAGCTCCGTTCATCTTGTTGGCTGTGCCGTTACTGTCAAAAACGGAACCAGGAGCCAGAGTTAGGGCTGCAGAGTGAGGGACAGGAAGAAAAAATAGTGGGGGTGGGGGTGAAGAGGCGGAAGAAGGAGGAAGAGTAGCACGGGGAAAGTGCCCAATGAGTCCTAGAAATTTGATGAACTAAAACAAAGCAGAGGCACCATTAGGTTGCTCTTCAGTGGCAGTGGCACGGTTTTCACTGCATGCTGCTGTTCAGCATCATAGCCTGAGCACAGGGTAGCACCAGGCCGCCTGTCACCCAGGGCGTGGACATCTCAGAACCAGGCTTGGGAGGCAGTTGCAAGTTAAGTGCAGGTCTCAATCTGCAAGGCTGCCATCAAAGCAGCATCGCTTAGGCAGCCTATCAGCCTTGTGCTGGCTATCACTGGGAAAGGCAGGGCTGATTTCTGCTGTATTTTTCTCCCTCTCCTCTGCTCCCCGCCCTTTTTTGGAGGTTTGGGAAGAGAGGGGAGAGGTGGTAATAATAAAGTCACATGGAAAGAAAATGAAACACTTGGCAGTTCGTCAGATGACTAATGCAAGATGCTGGTGATGAATCTGCAGAGTGCGCGAGGTATCCATGTGTGCATCAAATTAGTATGTTGTTGCTGCTCAGAATGGAAAGCGCTCCAGCTATGCAGCTCTGTGCAGCTGATTGGCTGCCCACACTGGAGAAAAGGGCCAGAGCTGGGAGGGGGCTCCCCTTTAAAAAGCACATTGTTTAAGGGACCCAGGCATAAAAGGCTTAATTCAGAGAGGGAAAAGCATCTCAGAATTGCCTGCTTTGTGCTGGGGAAAAAAAAAAAAATGCAGCCCCAGAAAGTTGAGTTCCCACTAAAGGACACTGAATATTTCAAATCTTTCACACTCCATAAATTGCTCTCTGTATATCTGACTTCCAGATGTTGCACTTAAGTTCTAAACAATCACACGTTTGGGAGAGAGAAAAAAAAAAGTCTGCCCTCTCTTCTCCTAACTTCAGTAAATATTTGGGGCCAATACAAAGAAAAAAAACCATAAGCTTTTTCATGTCTGTCTCTCTAATGTTTCTCAAATCCCCATTTGGAAGAGAACACTTGTTTAGAGCTTGCAATTATGGTCACCATCATGTAATACAATGAAGACATTCCTTGTTTTCTCTCCCTCCCTCAGTTGACCTAGCGTAAATATCAAGTGAAACCATCTACCCTTTCCTTTAATGCTCCCGAACCTCTTCAAATGTATTCTATACCCAGCTCCTCTGCCAAGTGAGAAGACTGAACACCTCTGAGAAACACTCATTTCTACTGCTGAGGTCTTGGTTCAGCTACTCAGCCTGTGAAAAACAGAAGGTACCTGAACAGCACAAAGTTGGCTGACCCAGCAACATCTATGGTGGTCCATAATCACCCCCCAATGCACACGCAGAAAGGTCAGAAAGGGGACAGACACAGTGACTAAAACTAAACAATAAATGGCAGGTGAGATTTCACTGTAGCTTCAGAGAATATACTAAGAGGGTATTCAAAGACCTTAAACAGTTCTTTATTTTGTTACACATTCAAAACAAGAGCATGTTAAGTCTGCTCAAGCCCTTAAAAGAAAAGAAAATACTGATGGCTAAAAACCCAAAAATTCACGGAAAGGAGAAATCCTAAACTAGGTTTAATGTAAGAAAGGACAATAATGTCAAATATTCTTCACTGAGTCTTGCCTTCAATTTCTACTTCTTATTTCCTTATTTTACCACTTTTAGTTTTTATCCCGAACATAGACAATCAGACTATCTAACTGAAGCATTTTCAAAGCTTTCTCTAATCAACCTTATTGTTATAAAAATGTTCTGCTGAATAAAATATTGAGAAAAAAATCTTTCAACAATTTAGGTGTAATGCAATGCTTGTTTATGTTAGATTTAAAATAATTTATCTTGTTCTTATATACCTATACTTCTTTTCCTATCACCATTTGAGAATTCAATAGACATTTTAACCCTGCGGAGCTGTGACTGCAGAGGGTGGAGGTGGCAGAGTCCAATGCAGTACAGAGTGTAGTGTTCAAAGCATGCTGAGAACTGAGAGTGTGGCAAGACTTATTTCTGGTACAGGAAGGACGTGTGGTTATTGCTGTTGACAACTAGCTAGAATGCAAAGAGGAAGGTACTGTCACAGGTCTTAGCTAACAGAAAGCGGAAGTTCAAAAAATGGGGCTGTTGCATCTTGCCTGTAAAGATCACAGTTAATATACTGGAAGAGGTAGAACACAGTATACCTGTCCTCATGTCTAAGCATTCCTCAATGTTTCTTCTAATGAGAGGCATTTGTACTTTCTCAAAAAATACAAACTCACTGAGTCACATAAAAAAACAAAAGCAGAGATGAGCGCTCCAGACTTACATGCTTGGACTTGATGAAGGTGAGTGCATATTTATCATCCCTCTCACTGAGCAGTCCTTCACAGAACTGGAGACCTCTTCTCATCCTGAGGGAGTATAGTGTAGTAGCTAAGGACCTGGCCTCTGGAATGTGTCACAACTACTTCCTAACTGTGCTACTCTGGGCCTCACACCCTTTATCTATAAAATGGGAACTAAGACTCCATCTATCTCATAGAGTCACATGCTTAGTATAGGGTATATAACCCAGAATAAATGCTCTATAAATGTCAGCTATTTCCACTGTTACCTTCTTTGTATTTGTGATGCACTTGAAATAAGTAGCAATCAGAAATTTACTTTTCAATACAAATTTTTTATAGTAGAGACTCATATCCTAAATAATAATAACAATGATCATAATATGTATTTTTTGTATACCAGATACTGGGCTAGGTGCTTTACATTTTTAATCCTCATAACACCCTATGAGAAAGTAGTAGTTTTTAAATGCTAACATCTAAGAAGTAATTTCCTTTCCCAAGGTTACCAGCTTATAAATTAGGGAGCTAGAATTCAAACCGATGCTCACTAGGCCCCAAAGTGTAAGCTGTTTCTAATCTACTATGTGGATTACATCCAGTCTGGCTTTGGTTGAAAGTGAACATTTCATGGCAAATCAATAGGAAGACAAAGCCAAGAGTAAGTCCTACTGAGTCCCTGGAACCACACAGCCAAATAAAAAGTGGCACTGAAAGAAGCATACATACACCTTTCCTCTTTCTATCTGTGGGAAAGATGGTGCAAAGCTCTGAATTTAAAGAGTCCTAAGGTACTTTAAAACTCATGTTTTCTCAATCGTCATGTAAAAGTGTATCAGTCCCCATAAATCCTTCCTCTGTATTCCCACAGAGTCACACTGATGACCATCTCTCATCCATATTTACAACCTTTCCTATCTGCCATTTTGTAAATAACCATTCAAAGATTTGCATCAAGTGCTAAGGGTGCAAGAATCCCGTCCTTAAATAAAAATCCAATCATGTCTAGTTGTCATGTAAATTAAAGACACCACCACTACCACCACCTTCTTATCTCAATCAAAAGCTTTTATTTGGAATAGGTGGTCATATTTCACTGACTATTCCATTGTTAACTGAATCTCGCACCTTGAATCCTATTCATTCTTACAGTTTGGTTAAGTTTGCTCTAATCCACCCAAGCTCTTCCTTCTTTGGACTCCCAACTTCTGCTTATTTCTAGTGGAGATTCATTGACTTATTTTGTCTTCATAGGGGAGTAGCAGGTAAAGACATTTTTAAAAAATTGTTTCAAATTAAACCCCAAATCTCAGAAAGATCCTCAAAAAGACTTTTAAAAGAATCTGTCTGTCTTACAAACTTAAACTAGCTCACTTCTTTTCACTCCGTAGCCATCTTTGGCATCCAGTACAGTGCCTTCTATAGTGCAGAAATTCAGACTCAAATTCAAATAATATTTATTGAGGACCTACTACTGTTTGCCAAGTACCTAATACACAGTATCACGAAAATCATTTATTTTGGAGATAAAGCAACTGAGAGTCACAGAGGGTAATGTGCCTTTTTTGATGTCATTTCCCAAGAAAAGATGACTGCAGAATGTGGATACAGATATAAAAGCCAGTTGTCATTCCTTCCTATTCTATAATGTGGGCTTTTCCAGGGTAATGTTTCCCATGGACTCTGTGACCACTTGTTGGCCCTGGACACAGACACATACATCTTTGTGGGCACCTTGCCTGAAAACTGCAACAAGGTCCTAAGTGCCAATTCTGCTTTTGGCCCTTGGCAAGGGGCCTACTATCAGGCTCCTCTAGGACAGATGCCATATGGAATTGAACCATAAGCTAGAGAGCATGAAGCCAGTAGGTATTGTTGGTATCAGTCTCAGAGCCAAGATGAAGATGTAATGTTGGAGGAAAAATGAGAATGCTTACTTTTTGCTTTTAGCTTGGCACTGATCTACTTCCTTAATCTATTTTCTAGTAAAAAGAATTAGATCAACAGAGGATATGAAAAATCTTCTGAAGTTCCTCTAAAGAAGTAAAATATCATTAAAAAATAATGATTCAACACTGTATTATTACTAATTGCTAGGCAACAGCTTTTTATAAGGCCTAGTGATGTACAGGTTTCCTTTTGGAGAAGAGAAACAAGAGAACTGAGATCACTAATCTTTCTTCTTGTCCTTGGATTACTTTCTGTGTTATATTTCTTTTATCTATATAAAAGGAAAACCAATAAGCTTACAAAATGGCTATGAGAAATGCCAACTGACCATAAACAACTATATTAATGCTTCCAAAATGACATAAAATTCTGTCTTCACCATGTGTATTAAGCCAAAACCACACAAAAAGATGGGAGAAACTGTCTTGGAAAAATTTTGTCTGAAGGTAGCTAATCTCCCTAGTAGTTATCTATAATCTTATTATTCTAATAGTTTTTGTTGTTGTATTTACTTTTTTGTTCTTTGGACTGATCTGTATTAGTGCTATTCAACTTTATGCCATAATGGAAATGATCTATATCTGCATAATACAATATGGTAACTAACAGCTGTATGTGGCTACTGAATACTTAAAATGTGACTAATGTAAGAAAGAAACTGAATTTTTATTTTAAAAGCTCTAGATAAATTTTTCCTTTTCTTTTCAAATGCTGATTAGAGACAAGATTCACCTAAACATTATCATTTCACAGGGAGCCATTTTATAAAAGTAGGAAAGCAGGAAAATGACATCACAGCTGAGGTACTGAACTGTGGGTAAATTGTTAGTAGGCTGGCTGGACTGGGTTCTGCTTTTGGCTCACCATCTCTAACTGTGGGACCTCAGGAAAATTATGCAACCACTCTGTACCTAAGTTTCCTTACTTATAAGGAAAGAGAGACAAAAAGTATAGTTGTATCTGGCTCTTAATTTTTATAATTCTGTGGTTGTGGTTTGGATATAGAGATTGACTTATGGAAAAAAAATATAGATAATATAATCAGCTACCTGAAACTTTTGTGTGATTTCGCCTTTTGTGACCAATTTAGTTCCCAAGACTCACTATATGCT